ACTTGGGTCACAAGTTTGACGCGAATGGTATGCGGGCAGACGACTCCAAAGTAAAAGCTATAATGGATATGCCCTATCCTACTGATAGGAAGGCTCTCGAGAGGTTTTTGGGCATGGTAAATTATTTAGCTAAATTTATACCTAATTACTCAGAGAGTGTAAATGTGTTAAGGTCGTTATTAAAGAAAGATTCGGAGTGGTCTTGGGAATCTCAACATTCAGAAGCAGTGGATAGGCTAAAGGCAAAGCTAGGTAGTGCACCGGTGCTAGCGCTGTACAGTGACAGTGCGCCGTTAGTGGTATCAGTGGACGCGTCTAGCGTCGCGCTGGGCGCTGTGCTACTACAAAATGATCGTCCGGTGGAGTTTGCATCGCTTACGCTCACCGACACTCAGACTAGATACGCGCAGATCGAAAAAGAAATGCTAGCTATTGTGTTTGGTATCGAAAGATTCAAGCAGTATATTTATGGGAGAACTGACGTCACCGTAAACACCGACCACAAGCCACTAGAAGCATTATTTAACAAACCCCTGGTTTCGGTACCAGTTAGGCTACAAAGAATGATGTTGAGAGTACAAGGATACGACTTCAAAGTAGTATATACGCCGGGCAAAAATATGTATATAGCAGACACGTTATCGAGGGCACCTTTGAAGGAAAAAATGCATGACCAAGTATCCACAGAAGTGGAGATACAAACTTGTTTCATGTTAGAACATGTACCTTTTAGCCAACCACGATTGGAGGCCATTCAAAAAGAAACGGACTTAGATAGTGACTGTCGATGGTTGATTAAATACATAACAAAAGGCTGGCCTAAAAATAGGCGCGATGTAAATGAACGAGTGAACGCTTTCTGGCCATATCATGAGCAAATGCATTATGTAGACGGAATCATTTTTAAGGACGAATTAGTGTTTATTCCTCGTGCTTTACGGGAAGACATGTTGTCACGAGTTCACGAAGGACATTTAGGTATAGAACGGTGTAAAAGGCGCGCGCACGATGTAATGTTTTGGCCGGGAATGTGCGACGATGTCGAGCGCATCGTGCGCACGTGTGCAGCTTGCGCACTGCACGCGCCTCGCCCGCGACGTCAACCGCTTCTGCAGCATAGCGTGCCTGCGCTGCCATGGCACAAGCTAGCATCGGACACGTTCGAGTATAAAAAAATGAATTACATTGTTTTAGTTGATTACTTTTCAAACTACGTTGAGGTAGGACAGTTAACGAGCATAAGCTCGAAGCAAGTAATTTCTTTTATGAAAGAGCAGTTTGCTAGGCATGGTATACCAGCAGAATTAGTCAGTGATAATGGTCCGGCTTATAACTCACAAGAATTTAAAAAGTTTATGCGCGAATGGGAAATACAGCATGTAACGTCATCACCGCATTACCCACAATCAAACGGGAAAAGCGAAAGAACAGTGCAAACAGTTAAAAATATGTTAAAGAAGTGTGTAGACTCGGGACAAGATTTCAATTTAGCATTGTTAAATTTCAGAACTACGCCGCGGCATGACTTAGACTCACCTGCCCAGATTTTAATGGGTAGAAGGCTGAAAACTAGATTACCGGTCTGTACTAAACTACTAACGGAGAGGGTAGATAATGAAAAAAATTATAAAACAATTTTGTCAAAGAGGGAACAAATCAAAATAAATTACGATAAATCGGCAAACACCCTTAAGCGATTATCTCAAGGGGATAGGGCAACTTTAGTGTGTAATGGCGCCAGGAAACCGGTGACCGTAGTGGCACAAGCAGCTCAACCGCGCTCGTACATTGTAGAAGACGAACGTGGTGGACGGTATCGGCGAACTCGAAGTCAGTTGATAACGCGTACGGCCTCGTCATCAGAAATAATTAGAGAAACTGTGAGACAACCATCTGATGATAATGAATTTAGTTGCAAGTTACCAAGTGTGATCTCGATGGCAGGGTATCGTAGGCGTAGACGAAAGCCAGAATCCACAGGATCGCAAAACACCGTGGTTCCTATTTGGGCGCAGGCAAGCCCAGCGAACAGCGAGTACCATGAAAGTCCAGTTGGTAGTCGAGACCAGTCTTGTACGTTGTCACCTCACGAGATACCTATTGAAAGGTCTAAAGAAAGAACTGCACGAATGCTGAATCATCTATTTCAATATAATGAATAGATATAGGTTATAGAAATAAGAAAACTTAGAAAAAAATGTTGTATAAATAGGAAGGAATAGGGCAATTACTTTATAAGATTAGATAAGGAAAAATTATGTGTTATTATGTAAGTTAGATATAAGCATTAGTTAGTATGTAAGTAACATTAATTTTAAGTAGTTGTTAGTAATCATTGGGCATTGCTTTTCGGAAAGGAAGAGATGTAGTATATTAGTGACGGTATGTCAATATTCCATGATAATTGTATGTGAGGGTGTTTGAATAAAAGTCAGTGTTTAACCAACTTGCGTGCGTTTCATTACAATTGTTGCATAAAGTCAAAACTAAAAAACCCACTACAGCTTAAGAATCAGCCAGTTATCTATATAGCCACCGCGTCAACCGTGCAGTCAACTATTTTGTCTTTATATTGTACTAGCTTTTACCCGCGGCTTCGCTCGCGTCACAAAAGGATAAAAAGTAGCCTATGTGACATATACCAATACACACAGCGCCATCTATACCAATAATTACGTTTTTCCTCGAGAATATCAATTTTTTCCAGGATAAAAAGTACCCTATTATTTAATCCAGACTTCTAACTTCAAGTCTGCAAAAATTCAAAGCAATCGGTTTAGTAGTTACGACATGAAAGCGGAACAAACAAACTCACTTTCCGATTTATAATATTAGTAAGGATATATATTAGTCAGATATTAATATTTACAATATGCTACATTTTACACGCTATTAATTTAACTTAGATGGTCCAGCATTACCTGCCTGACTACTCCGAGATGGCAAACGAAACTCAGAGGTCAGAATCTCCTTTAAATTCCAGACAAAGTTAACTATAGTTGAATAACCGTGCAAGTTCATTATGTAGTGTTTTTTTTTTCAAAAAAAGAATCACACAAGTTTAAATGAACCTGAATCATTTAGGTATAAAAAGCTTAATTACTAGTAAAGATACTTTTGGAACGTCAACAGTGATATATATAATCTGTACAATAAAATTAATAAAGAAACCTTAGTTTACGACGTAAAGCAAAACAGCGCATTTCTCAGTATCTGCTATCATTAAGTTATGAAAAAAGCGAGGATTTGTTGATTGTCATTAAATAAATAATGTATAGGTATAAATACATAATAATTTAGTGTTTCCTAACATATGTATACGTAAGGTTTTGTAATATTGGTGACTGTATAAATAATATTGTTAATGCTTAGTTATATTATCCTGATGTATAATGCACGTGACCACAAAGCCTGTGGTACAGATTTAATTCTATACAGGCATTGTATTGTAACCTACCTAGAATAGTTAAATAATAAGCATAGATTAAGTATATGTGAACAAAATGGAAATAAATATATTTGTTTGTTTATATATACCAATAGAATAGTTGGTCAGTGAAGCTAAGTGCTCGTTCCAAAGCGTAGATTCGAATGAAGCGTTATAGTCATAAGGGTCATAATAATGTCCCAATATATTGAAAGAATGGTGTCATTCTACAAGTACATTCTCAACATGTCATATTTATTTGGAGCACTCTGTGTTATGAAATATCTGATTGTACTATTGTGGACCAGATTGATCTACAGAGTGTTTAAAATGTACAGTACGAAAAGGCGCAAATTTCTCGTAGTATGTATAATGTAAATATGTAACTACATATGCATACATTGTATTTTGTATCTTACTGTCGAGCAACCAGTTGAATGCCACTGACACTGCTCAGTATCGGCCTCCCTTAATGATCCCGGCTGGAAGCGAGTGGATCGTATACCTTTGCATCTAAAAAAATAACAACCTTGTTTTATGGAATAAGCCGGTAAACGAGCAGACGAATCGCCTAATGGTAGGCAATTGGCGCGGCCCATAGACGCCCGAAATTCCAGAGGCGTTACAAGTGCGTTACCGGCCCTTTGGGGATTAGGAATTTAACCTGAATCCTCTTGAATAAGAGAAAGTGTGACAATTCCGTAATATTTTCTTTTAAATTGTAAAACGTTTTTTTTTCTATATATGTATATATGTAAACACGCCGTAAATATATTTAGGGCCAGTAAACCTACCGAGTTACTTAATGAGAGCAACTTTCATTTGTTATTGACAGCTTGTTTTTAACTTTAACTACTTCAATATCCATATTATATTATACATTCATAGGTCACGTAAACATTTATTCATTGGGCGATTTCGGATGCAATATGATTTCTCTATTATATGGAATTATAATAATATACGTAGGTACATCAGCCAGCTGCCTTGGAGGATTTAAAAATTCTCTTACTTAAACTTTTCCTCTTCAATGATTTCTTTTGATATATTTCGTAAGGGGTTAAACTGTGTGGAATACGCTATATTTCATTGTTTTGACAAAGATTTTAGACCAACTCCCTGAGCACTGACTTCCTGCATAGATTTATCACCTTAAATCCTTGCAATTTACAAGGGAGGAACTCAGCTCAGGGGGTGAGCCTATCTCATGGGACTCATAACATAAAATAGTGAAAAGTGGGTCTTACATTGTACAGTGGCATTAAGTGCCGTAATGTGCACCTCTGCCAACCCCTTCGGGGATAAAAGGCGAGAAGTTATGTTAGTTATGTTTTAATTCTTTTATTAACTATGTTTAAAAACCCGACTTCAACCCTCTCTTTTGTGTCTCATATACCGGCACTCCAGAGAGTTAATATACGAGTTAAGTGTAAGAAACGGTTTTCTGAAAACCGCATCAAAATTGGTTTAACCAATCGCGAGATAACCGCGCACATACATACATACATACATAGATCGAACTGAGAACCTCGTTGTTTAAAGGCGCATAAAAAATATTTCATTTTCATTTCAGCGGGCACTGAAGTTAGTCCAGAAACGACCCTGAATGATTACCTGAGGAATTACCTGCAGCTGTATGGCACCAAGGCGATGTGTCATGAGGGAGGCTGCGGCGCATGCGTGGTGTCCGTCTCACAGGTCCACCCTGCCACTAAGGAGAAACATATCTTTTCTGTTAATTCTGTAAGTCTAAAGCATGTTTGATCGACCTCTTCTTAATTATAAACTTCTTGGCTAAGATAGGTGATATTTAACGCCATTTTGTTTCCACGGACCTAGCAACCCCTAACCATAAGGGGTTAGTTTGCCGATTCGGAGTCGCGGAGAACCTAACGGGTAACCGGGGCTCCGGCTCGACGTGCAGGAGAAGGAACGGGGTGGTTTTCAGTCAGTAAGAGTCTGACACTCCCTCCCGCCTCACCCAGGCGGGAGCAGTCATTCGATGATTTTCCCCCCTTAAAAAAAAAGGGCGGGGGTTAGTGCTTAGTAACCCCCCGCGCTTTAGTGCTTAATATATGAGTAAGTTTTAGTTACGTGATGGTTAAGGGGTGGTTGATGAAAACGGTCATAAATAAGTAGAGATGTCACTTAAGATAAATTTATATATTTTTTTAAATTTATTTTAATTTATGTTTCTGAAATACAGATACAAGATACAAAATACGTATTTCGATCTTGTAACAGAAATTTCTTGCATTTAGCCTTCGATTTCGATGATGCTCCGATGTAGCATTTTATTATTAGGATCATACTAAAAATCTGAGATAAGTTTTATTTGCGCTAAGCTTGGTTTTTTTTATACTCCGTGACCATTGTACTTTAAAATAGGAAAATATTAATTCAATCAAATGTAGTTTTCCTAGAAAAGTATTTTATCTTTAATAAGTATTTTAAAGATACCTATCTAGTATTAAATACTAGATACAATCTAGTATTTCAGATGCCAATATCAATAGTATTTTGTATCTGGTATCTGGTATACTTAATTCTAAAGTATCTTGCATTTTCTATTTCAGATACTTTGTATTGGATATTTTGTTCCTCGCTGTAAATAAGAATAACACGCGTATAATAGTTTTTCAATACCAATATATAACATTATTATACCTTCCTCAAGAAATGCACTATCAGCTGATAAACATAGCATGTATAGGTACCTAATTTTAATAAAGATTCCAAGTCAAATGCCACAGTAAATGCACCGGCTCGTAAAAATTGTCGTAAACGTGGAAATATTCCAAACGACTTTACTTCAGCAAAAACAATTTACTTCTTATTATAAATGTATGTAGGTATATAATAAGTATATTGTGTGAGTAATGACTTATATATATGTACATACATAACTAGTTTCTGCTCGCGATTTCCCGCGCGTAATCCCGTTTTTTCCGGTTCCTGTAAGATTTTCAGGAATTTATCTGTCTTAATAATAACAAATACGACAAAAAAATAAATTGTGATATTGGTCCAGCCATTCACACCTGCTGCCGTGACCAAGGGGAAAAGGAATTCATTGTATATTATAGATACAGAACAATTTCTACATAAGTATTCTTTTTAATGTCTACAAACAATTACAATTTCACAAACAGATGACACCCAGATCCGAAACTTATAGGTCACACATAGAGCTGCTCCGTGTGGGAATCGAAACCGCTACACGTTGCACATGCACAGCAGCTGATTGCCCAGTCGCGTCAACCGTGCAATTATTTAGAATGGGTTTTTCGATGTTTTTTTTTAAACACAGGGTAAGGAAGTATGCTAAAGCAATTGTTAATTAAGCTATTTTACACAAATGCTTAGTTAAAAATATTAAAATTATTCTTTTATATACTACGTTTAAAGACACCAACTTTTTGAACTCGGTTAATTAATATATTAAAACCTTCCCCTAATTGTAACAAACACTTTTTTGAGAACCGCATCAAAATCGGTACAGCTAATCGTGAGACAATCACGCACATATAAACATACATATAGGTCAAACTGAGTCAAACCTCCTTTTTTGCAGTCGGTTTATACCTAATATTACAAACGACATACACAATTACATTACTAGGAAGGTACAATTACATACATAATTATACCTACTGATTTGATTACACTAATAATAACCTCGGTTATTACTTATTATACATATGGGTACAAACATAAGTACCTCGGTTAAAGAACTTAGTTCATAGATAACCGGCTTCAAGTTAAGTGGTAAGTTCACTCAGTAACTTCGATAAAAACTCGTCAAGAGCATGCAGAGCGAGGTTTCATACAAACCCTTTGAGCTTGATTTCATCAATATGAAAATCATTATTTATTTGATAAACATTCGTTCGTTAGTTTTTTTGAACAGAGAGTTAATTTCCCTAATATCGGAAAAGGAATCCTCCTTTTCCTCCGACCAGGGTGCTCACTCTTGAATCCAATCTCAATCTCAATACAATTACAATCTAATAAAATCTCAATAATTATACAAAATCAAACTATACAACCCCTATTGTAGCTGTTTAAATAGCATTTAGAGTACGGAATATAAAGCCAAACTCAATACTATTTAGTTCATTCAATATCCACGCAATACGGATGCAATGGGCGCTAGTGTTGCAACTCAAGAGTACGAAATTTCACAATACCAAAGTCGATTGATCGGAATTGGATTCAAGAGTAAGCAAGCAGGCGAAGAGTCGTGGTGGCCCGGAGGTTTAAGACGCCCGCTTCTCATGCATGAGGGTGCGGGTTCGAAACCTACCAACGGCAAGTACCAATGTGACTTTTTCCGAGTTATATGTACTTTCTAAGATTATTTAGACACCACTGACAAACGGTGAAGGAAAAACATCGTGAGGAAACCTGGACTTATAATTTCTAATTATAAGTTTGAAATCGCCAACCCGCATTGAGCAAGCGTGGTGATTAATGCTCTAACCTTCTCCGTGTGAGAAGAGGCTTTGCTCAGCAGTGGGCATTTATAGGCTGTTGATGATGATGATGATGATGAAGCAGGCGAGGTATTCGTGCCTGGCGGGCTTTCTGCCCCACAGTTGTTCGTTGGGATTTTCCATCCATGTTCAAATCTGCCTCTTTTCTAAAATTCTGGAACGTATAGTTTATACAGATGTCTACGCGGCTTTTAAGACTATTCTTGGTGATGAACAACACGGTTTTATTAGGAACCGCTCGACTACGTCTAACTTACTTCTGTCACAGGAATTTATTACGAACGGCATGGCGCAGCGTCAAGTTGACGTAATTTATACGGACTACAGCAAATGCTTTGACCGTATTGATCACCGCATGCTACTGGAAAAGTTGTTCTCGCCGGAATTCACGGAGACTTGTACCGATGGTTCTCATCCTATATAGAGAACAGAACGCAGGCCGTCGTGCTTCATGGCTACACCTCAGGTTGGAGTTCTGTCCCTTCAGGAGTGCCCCAAGGTTCCATTCTGGGTCCTTTGTTATTCATATTGTTCATTACAGATATCAAACAATGCTTTCATCATTCGTATATTCTTCTCTATGCTGATGACATGAAAATTCACAAAGTTGTAAGAGACATGTCTGATGCATATCGAATGCAAGAGGACCTGCACAGATTTGAGATGTATTGCAAACGTAACAAACTCCAATTAAATGTCACTAAGTGTTTCGTCCTAACATTCTCACGACGTACGTCTTTGATCAATTTTAATTATGTCATCAACTCGGAAGTGATTAGCAGGCTGAATAGCATAAAAGATTTGGGAGTGATCGTAGACAACAAGCTTCTATTTGATCAACATGTGAATAATATGGTAACAAAGGCATCCAAGGCTCTAGGATTTATACTCCGCACTACGGCCTGTTTCCGATCTCTTAAACCGGTAAAAATTTTGTATTGCTCTTTCGTACGTAGCCACTTAGAATACGCATCACAGGTTTGGAACCCGCAGTATGAGGTTTATAAGTCCCGTATTGAAGGCGTCCAAAGAAAATTTCTTCGTTACCTTGATTATAGAGCACAGCAATACTCAGTTGACTACAACCACCGCTGTAAACGGTACCACTTCCTTCCTCTGGACATGAGGCGTCATATTGGAGACATAACTATGCTTATGCGTATCGCAAATGGCCATATTGACTGTCCTGAGCTTGTTGCAAAATTAGCATTGCGCACGAACCTAATGGGATTACGTCAGCGACCTATATTAAGTGTACCCTTCACATCGACTAACTATATGAAAAATGTTTTTTCTATAAGGAGTGCACTTGAATTTAATAGACTGTCTAAGGAATTTGACATCGACTTATTCTGCACCAGTGTAGCATCCTTGCGACATCAAATCTCACAAAACTTCTTCGATGGTTAACTTCTTTGTCTAATTATTCTTCTAGCAATTGATATTTGTTAGTAATTAATTGTCTTCTGTACTCTTTTTTATGCCTTTCTGTATTTTCTTTTTATCTATATGTGGAGGCTTGTAATTAGCAATTTGTCAATACTATACTCTTATAAAATCATTTTCAATGTATTAGTCTGTAAGCCTTCTTAAAATAAATAAAATTTAAAAAAAATTTAAAAATGTTAATTTGAATGTAAACTTCGATTTTTGTGACGTCATCCCTTGATTTGTTTCATCGATTGTCTATGAACGTGAAGTGTCATGCTGTCATTTGACATGTGTCGCCAAATATTAACATCGTATCAGGAATTTCTATTGTATTGGCTTTGTGTTTTGTATGAAAATTCGCGTAACTCATAAGTTATTTTATTTTTGTCATGTATGGGGTCTGACCAGCCAGTGAGGTGATTCAACCTCGCAAGTTCATGGGCACTTTGTGTATGGGTAAACATGTTTGATTTATTCATTGAATATGTTTATTTATTTGGTACTTCTTAACATAATTCTAAGGTTATGTATTTGTGAATGATAAATAAAATTGTTATTCAATTATTCAATCGTCTGTTCGATTGCTAACTCTGGCTAATGTTTTATTGGTTGGTTTTGGTTTGTGATTTTGAGGTTTTCGCTATAATACTAGTACAAACTCAGTTAAGATCCGACCCGACCAACCTGTACTTATTAGTTTACATAGATAAACAAATCGGAATGAAAGATCCAGAGATTGTAATGTAATACCACACTGGTTTATGCCGTAAACGAGCGGACGGATCACCTGATGGTAAGCAATCGGCGTCGCCCATG